CACGATTAACAAGTGATATAAGATCATCTTTGGTCTTTATTATTTTATTGGTTGGTACAATAGATGAATGAAGAGATTTTGATGATGATGATTCATCGAAAGTAGGTTCTGGCAAAGATGTATTATGTTCATCATACGATGATGATGGTACACGAGAACGTTTTGCATTTGATGATGTTGTTTGATGACCATTCGTAGAAAATGTACGTTGATTACTAGTTGATGATGTTGTTATACGAAATTGTGGTGGAACATAGGTTTGTTTTAGACGTGTATCAATATCTTGTAAATTTGTCCATAATTCTTCACGAGCACGACATAAATCGTCCGTAGATAAATTTGTAGTTATACTACTCATTATTGATTGTTATATGTCTACAATAATAAGAAAATGTTTTTATGAAATGTTGAAATAATTGGTGAATGAATGAACTGATCGGCCATGTTGATTCAACAAGAGAGAACGAAGATCAAGTAACCAATTGTGAGAAAGATATGAATTTATTAGAATTAAAAATTATTTATTTATATAAAATTTAGCATAATGAAAGAAAGAAAAAGAAAATTAAAAGATACTAAATGCAAAACAAATAAAACTATACATATACTATACTCTGTCAACTAGCGACATCTTTCTCATCTGTACAACTAAATAGTATGATTTTTGCTTTAGAAAAAAGATCTGAAAAATGCAATAATTTGTGAACTTTGCTAATGTCTATATAATAAAGGGTGGTTCATAAGTAGTTTTATGATAAAAAACATTGAATATTTCCATTCTATTCTTAACCTATGACGTTAATTTTTTCTATGGTAGAGGAGACTTCAGAGTTTTTCTTTCCATAAGAAATCTATGACCTTATAGGCGGCTATAACATGATTCTCAAAATTTTGAAATCTCTATAAAAGCGAGCATCAACAAGGATAGTCAATGTGCAAGCCGAAGTGACTCTCGTTTTCGGTGATGAGAGAGAAAAAACAACCAAGCATCGCACAATGGAAGACACAGTCGAATATATTCGTCGAAAAAATGCATGTATGCACATATGGATTTGTTAGAGTCTCTTCAACATTGCGAAAGATAAAATTTCATTATTGAAGTCGATGATGATACTTCAAAGCAATATTAATAAATGTTGTTCTTATAGAAAAAAAAACTCTGAAATCATCTTTGTCACCGAAAAGAATTAGCTCCATAGAGTGCAACAGAGTAGAGGTATTGTAATTTTTTATCATAAAGCAAATAATAAACCAGCCTGTATCAGAAATTGAATATTTATTCTGCAATTTAAAAGACCGAAATGGTGACCAGTTGTTTGATTTTCTGTTTTAGTTCTCAGCAAAATTCGCTCGTATATAGAGACATTGTTTCTAGACCATAATGTAAAAAAAGATAAATCCTCAGAATAAATGATTTTTTTATAATAAACTTTCATGACTCAAACACAATATTTCTAAGTTTAAAACAAATGATAAACATTCGAATTAGTTTTATTATTTATTATAACATAACTTCAAAAACTAAGTATATCTTAAATAGATGGATAAATTTTGTTTACACACATTGTATTGAACTATTCATCAAATTAGTAGACGATTTATTGGATAAATAGTAATTAGAGGCTATGAAAATATGAAACTGGTATCGTTTATGAATAAGAGGTAAGTGCTTGTTCATTAAATTCTTCATAGTTGTGGTCTAAAATATTTATTTTCGAAGCGAATTACATTTCTTGAGTGTATGTGAGTGACATCTGATGAATTAAGAAACAATTAAGATAACTTTAATTCATGTTCGTATTTCTAAATAATACAGTTAAAAAGTTCATTATTGAAAATTTCATGCTAAAGAGAAGTTGATCAAGTGAAATCTTAATCTGGTACTGTACAATGTACAGTTTGATCTTCTATGCTATAACACAGGAAATATTTAACTTTTTGATTAAAATATACTTTCTAATATCGTCATACATTTTTTTGCAGTGGCAATGATAGTTGAATATATTTTTCTTCATAGAAATCATTCTAATAGTAACATAAAAGCGAATTTATAGGTCTGATGAGTCTTAAAATAAAAAATATAACATTTATTAGTTTTAGTTATAACATTTATTTCTCTCTCTCATATATAATACTGTTTGTCAGATTATTTATTCTTTTAGTATATTTCAATTATGTTGACACAACACTTTCTTGCGTGACATTTTTGCATTGACAATTACGCATGAATTTGATTTTTTGAAGGTGAAGATGAGAGTGGTACAACAAGCATGGAGCGTATCACGTGAGTAAAGGTGAGAGCAAAAACATACACATACATACACTCACGCATCAAGGAAGCAAGACCTGATAGACTCTTACAATCCTCGCTATATCTATTTGTAAACTTACTAAATCAATATATATATATATATCTGGAGAGATCGCATAAATAAATCTTATGAAAAAACTATAGAAACATCGAATTATTTTTTAGTTCATTTCCTTCATAAACTTCATATTATCAGATTAATTAAAGTCATTAATGTGAATAAAAGAAAAATTATCTGTTTCCATATTATTGAATCAATGATCATGACAAAAAAGGGTGATCAAGATTATAGGAATTATTAATATTCACGAAGTTTGAAAAGATTATTAACATAATATAAAGAGGACAGAAAAAACGAATTTCATGTGCAAGTCTCCTGCAC